AGTAGAGTTCTTACTTCACACTTCACAGTAAACAGGGCGTCATAACTCTGGTTAACTTACCCGATAAGGCCCATGATTTGATCGATGCATACGTGTTGTCGGTCTCTCCCCCAGACCCATCGTCACTGTTGGCGGCGATAGAGACGTAGGACGCGGTGTCGCTACGGGCCACACCCCCGTGATACCTCACGGATAGTTCGGGGTTTGTAGCAAGGGTTGGCCGATCTGCCTTAGCTTGTTGGTTGCCTTGCCGACCGTGGAGTAAATTCTTCCACAAGCCCATCATACAGTCAAAGTATAGGAATTAACGCGCCCTACCACCACTGATAGGAATTGATACAGGTTACGGATATTTGTGGTCAACAGACCAGTAGGTGTCCATCGTGTACGCCAACGGCACCGGCTTGGACCTCATGACGACCTTCAGAATCACATGTACATCCCATCCGTCAGACTAAAGATTTGCAGTCTTGTCAAGTTGCCGGGAGCTATGGTGTTATTAACGTTCCGGTCTTAACTGCGCTGTTGAACACGCTTCTGTGGTCGATACATCGATCGTTACAAAGAGACAGAAATCAGTGAGCCGAAGCCATGGCATGTCATTGTAGGCACATAGTCTTTGTAGTAGTATGTTCATGTAGTAGGTATCCCATCCACCCAGGCGTGGCCGTCACACGCTGTTGCAGTAACACCTGGGCAATTACACCTACCTACCTGTCACGTGAGATGCTGCTGCTCGTGCACCAGCACACTGCACTAATTAGTAGGGAGGTCACCGCGACAAACTGGCAGTTCTATCTCGTTAGTCGATAACTGTGATTGTCTTGCAGAATTGGTCCCAGCTCCCTGGGGAACAGTCATGGTTCCGTATCGATTGGCGGTCCTACCTTTTTGTAGTAAGGGTCGGGACCCCTTTTGGTACGAATACTGGCTCCCTTGTTTCCCTACACTGATGGAATTGGTCCTTTCCCTGTCGACACGCGCTCCTTTTACTGTTGGCACTGGCTCCTTTCCCTCTCGGGACTGGCTCCTTTCCCTATCGTGACTGGCTCCTTTTACTGTTGGCACTGGCTCCTTTCCCTCTCGGGATTGGCTCCTTCCAGTGACATTCGTGGCTCCCTACTATGACTTTCCTGGATCCACACAATTGCGGCTCCGTCTCCTCTAGTGACGGCCTTGGCTCCTGGATGATGTTCCTGCTCCTACAGAGGCTGTACTTGCTACTTTTGCTCGTTCAAGACGTGTATCACACGTGTCTATGTTGCCATGCTTGTCCTCCCCAACTTACTGTTATGGCTGACAGAATTGTAGTAACCGTCACATGTCAACAAATCTTCTTAAAAACAAGACCTTAGGGTCATGCAGCTGCCATGCGGGCTCACGATCCGTGCCGGGTCTGACGCTATGGGTGTCAGCGTGGCCGCCGACACCGGAACAATGTCACTAGAAGACCTCACAGAAATCTGTCGGCCAGGTGGCTCTCTGTCCCAGCTCGACGTCAGACGATAAACATCCTATTCTGTTAACCATGAACATTGAACTCAGAGAAACATACTAGGTAGACCGGGACACGCCTGATCTGCTACCCACCGTGCGGGGGAATATAAAGCTGTTGTATACACATCGATCCAAATTCCTTTGAATATTTAATCCATGTCTTTGCATCATTCCAAGGCCTGTGATTGGAAATGTTGATTGGGTCAATGAGCGTGATGCTACCAGCTAGAGAGCCACGCGCTGCTTGAGACCCACACGTCTGTCCCCTGCCAACTACACGGCAGTACAGCCCCTCTCCCCGGCTGGCTGACCCCTGACCCAGGACCCCAAGATCTCACGGTCAGAAGGCTGCAGAAGACGCGACACAATAACGCAACATGGCCCCAGGCGGCGAGCTGAACACATCAGACAGCTTGTTTTCGGTGGAGATGGTATACGTCATCCCAATAACACATTTGATGATATAATCTGTCGCGATGTAGCTGTGTCAATACTTCATCCAATTAAGTGGTCGCGTTGTAGATCCGCTGAACAAAACACATCTTCTTCAATGTGTCGGATGTTTGTTTAGTAACACGGGTATAGGAAGAAATGTAAACTTGAGTTGTGGTCGCTCCGTAGATCAGCTTCCCAGTCAACGGCGAGGGATGACTCTATGTATGTACGTATTAGATATTCGGGTCTACATACTTAGTGATCCAGGGATCCACGATGCGGTAGGTACAGGGCAACAGCGGTATACCCAATGGGTCACTGTTTTAAACTGAACAGAGATGATGTGTAGAGACAGGGCACGACGATATACCCCACGGACACCTGCCTTTGTACTGCCGAAATCCAAAACAAACGCAGCGAGACCGACCTTTTCATGGGTCACCTCGCAGAGGGAAGGCGAGCCACCAGGGTTAGACGCAGTGCTGGTCCGAGGGCTCGTTAAACAGTTAATAGAGTGGGCTGATTTGACGAGTCCCTTCTCACTGTGAATGGTCCCTCTGCACACCCAGCGTCGTATACTGATACCCCTCGATATAACACTGCTGCACATTCTTTTGTGTGACCTAGGTATTCTTTCCTGAAATAACCATTAAGCTTTGCGTAGGTGTCGGTGACTACTTTGTTTTTGTCTAAATATCGAGGGTTATTTTTTCTCTGTGCAAGTATCAAGGGATACTATGTCTCTGTGTGAGTGTCGAGGGCTACTGTGCCTGTATAATTATATAAGTATCGAGGGCTACTGTGTCTGCATCTAGGGCTACTATGTCTGTCTAAGTATAAAGGGCTACTGTGTCTCTATGTGAGTATCGAGGGCTACTGCGTTTGCGGGCTACTGTGTCTGTATCGAGGGTTACTGTGTCTGCATCGAGGGCTACTGTTTGTGAATCGAGGGCTAATGGGTGTGTGAGAGGGCTACTGTCTCTGTGAGAGTATCGAGGGCTACTATGTCTCTATGTGAGTACCGAGGGCTACTGTGTGTGTGTGGGAGTATCGAAGGCTACTCTGCCTCTTTGTGCGTATCGAGGGCCACTGTGTCTCTGTGAGTATCGATGGCTACTGTGTCTGTGTGTGAGAATCGAGGGCTACTGTGTCTCTGTGTGAGTATCGACGGCTACTGTGTCTGTGTGAGTATCGACGGCTACAGTGTCTGTGAGAGTATCGAGGGCTACTGTGTCTCTGTGTGAGTATCGAGGGCTACTGTGTCTGTGTGTGAGTATCGACGGCTACTGTGTCTGTGTGAGTATCGACGGCTACAGTGTCTGTGAGAGTATCGAGGGCTACTGTGTCTCTGTGTGAGTATCGAGGGCTACTGTGTCTGTGTGTGAGTATCGACGGCTACTGTGTCTGTGTGTGAGTATCGACGGCTACTGTGTCTGTGAGAGTATCGAGGGCTACTGTGTCTCTGTGTGAGTATCGACGGCTACTGTGTCTGTGTGAGTATCGACGGCTACTGTGTCTGTGTGAGTATCGAGGGTTACTGTGTGTCTGTGTGAGTATCGAGAGTTACTGTGTGTCTGTGTGAATACAGAGAGCTACTGTGTCTGTGTGAGTATCGACGGCTACTGTGTCTGTATGAGTACAGAGAGCTACTGTGTCTGTGTGTGAGTATCGAGGGCTACTGTGTCTGTGTGAGTATCGAGGGCTACTGTGTCTGTGTGAGTATCGACGTCTACTGTGTCTGTGTGAGTATCGAGGTCTACTGTCTCTGTGTGAGTATCGAGGGCTACTGTGTCTGTGTGAGTATCGAGGTCTACTGTGTCTGTGTGAGAATCGAGGTCTACTGTCTCTGTGTGAGTATCGAGTTCTACTGTCTCTGTGTGAGTATCGACGGCTACTGTGTCTGTGTGAGTATCGAGGGTTACTGTGTGTCTGTGTGAGTATCGAGAGTTACTATGTGTCTGTGTGAATACAGAGAGCTACTGTGTCTGCGTGAGTATCGACGGCTACTGTGTCTGTGAGAGTATCGAGGGCTACTGTGTCTGTGTGTGAGTATCGAGGGCTACTGTGTCTGTGTGAGTATCGAGGGCTACTGTGTCTGTGTGAGTATCGAGGGCTACTGTCTCTGTGTGAGTATCGAGGTCTACTGTCTCTGTGTGAGTATCGAGTTCTACTATCTCTGTGTGAGTATCGACGGCTACTGTGTCTGTGTGAGTATCGAGGGTTACTGTGTGTCTGTGTGAGTATCGAGAGTTACTATGTGTCTGTGTGAATACAGAGAGCTACTGTGTCTGCGTGAGTATCGACGGCTACTGTGTCTGTGAGAGTATCGAGGGCTACTGTGTCTGTGTGTGAGTATCGAGGGCTACTGTGTCTGTGTGAGTATCGAGGGCTACTGTGTCTGTGTGAGTATCGAGGGCTACTGTCTCTGTGTGAGTATCGAGGTCTACTGTCTCTGTGTGAGTATCGAGTTCTACTGTCTCTGTGTGAGTATCGACGGCTACTGTGTCTGTGTGAGTATCGAGGGTTACTGTGTGTCTGTAAGAGTATCGAGAGTTACTGTGTGTCTGTGTGAATACAGAGAGCTACTGTGTCTGTGTGAGTATCGACGGCTACTGTGTCTGTGTGAGTATCGAAGGCTGCTGTGTCTGTGTGAGTATCGAAGGCGACTGTGTCTCTTTAAATATCGAGGACTAAATAGTCTCTCTTTTAGTATCGACAGGTAATTTGTCTCAGTTTAAGAGACAACCGCATCTTCAGAGGTGTGAGACGCTGCATAGTGATTGGTGAGCAGCGTTAGTTCGTGCAGTGTATTGTTGGGGATGCCGGAGGCTCGACTGGATGAGATCGGCACACACTGACATTGGACCAGATTTAACTCTTAAACAATGTCATAACAGTGTAAACCCTGAACACTATTGGCCCCTTTCTGTTGAAACGAGACACGTTAGAAAGTTATGTTGAATATGCGATGGTGAAATTGTGGGGTGTTGGTACAAAGATCGAAACTCCACGAAATACAGACACAACGACAATAGGTAGCATTGTCTGACTGAATGTCGGCGAGATCAAAACAGGTTGTCAAATATTACCTGGCGGGCGCGTGGAGGACGGCTCCAGTTTAGGCCCTTTAAATAGCCTGTCATTACAGCCGAGACATTCCACAACAGATCGAAACATTAGCGACAGGGGGTGCTATCAAGCGTTAGGGGAAAGCGGTGGGTTGGAGCACTGGGATGAGGCATATGATGGGAACGGGGCGGGAGTAGACTTCAACTTCACATTGTTTGTTTGTTTGTTTGTTGTGTAACGCCGCACTCAGCAATATTACATTGAGACAGGCACATCCTGCAAGACTCCCCAGCCACATAAGACTTTCTTTTATCTAACTTTATTATTAAATCACAGGATAGTATTATAATATTTACTCTTAACGCGGTAAACCCCATTTAAGCTCACCTCACCTTTTATATTTACTAAATTCATGTCATCGTCAAAATCTAAAATTGTTAATTTACCTGCTTATAAAATATTTTACCGGCACCTGCACTTTGTATAAGTCGTACAGTTTTTATCCCTATATTTAATATTTATCATGGATTTATTTTAGTTTTACTTTTAGCATGTCTATATATGCCAATGTGCATAATGTATTTTATCGTTAACCAGTGTCTCATAAGGCTATCGAGGCTGGGTGATAGGGCACTTTGCATGTAAATGTTTATTACCGTTGCCTCTCATGTGACACATAGACAAACTAATTCTGTCTGTCTTCGGGGCAGATCAGTAGCATGGGGCGGGGAGACCTTCGGCGACAGTGGGGAATAGCTTAGATGATTAAAGTTTAATCGATGTTTATTAAGAAACTACACTCCATGTTGTTATCGAAAGCAGAAAATTCCCGCAACATCCGCGTCCTGCTCTGACCAGCTACGGGACTAGTTATTTTGGGGGTAAATGTAACGGTGACACGTGCAAGTGAGATCGTCACGGCTCCTCTGCAGGTGCTTGTATGGAGCGTCATGCCCACGGGTCGATAGGGCAAGAGGATGCCAGATCAGATTGCACCAGGTAACACATTCAAGAATAAAACATTAATACGCTGCACTGTGTCAAGGTATCGGGCTTACACAGCAAGGATAGATAGCACAACTATCGTTTATTTGTTTGTTGTTTAACGCCGCACACAGCAACATTCCAGCTATATGACAGCGGTCTGTAAATAATCGAGTCTGGACCAGACAATCCAGTGAGTGACATCATGAGCATCGAGGATATACGATGACATTCATCCACCAAGTCAGCAAGCCTGACCACCCGATCCGGTTAGTCGCCTCTTACGACAAGCATAGTCGCCTTTTATGGCAAGCATTGGTTGCTGAAGGCCTATTCTAATCCGCATCTTCACGGGTTTCACTATCAAGTAGTACGATAATCATCAGGGCAGACCGGGAAAAGAATGCTTATTTATTTCTTATAAAATATCGCAGCGCAAGGAAAGACGGGAACCTGTATACAAGTGAGGGGTTTTATCGTAGCCCTTATCACCGTCGTTCCTATTTTGTTAAGCCTTGTTGAGATATCGCTGCGCGGAGCTTTTAATACAATGAATGTTAAGTATTGCAAGCCAACCACACCCCCATATCATCATAGTAGCTGTGCCATAACAACTTTAATCAATATTGTTGCCATAGAAACCAAAACACTTTGAATGTAGCCGATTTGAAAAAGGGGCTTAAGACGGGTTATTTGAGAGATCCCCAGGCATAGTTTCAGCTTAATTACTCTAGCGGTTTCAAAGAAAGGGTTGAAAGAAAAATTATAAAAATCAGGAGTGGCCAAAGATCGTGATTTAGTGAAGGTCATACAAACCCCCAGAATGTATGTCCGCACAGCTCACCAGCAACACGCCCAATGTCATAACAATACCTACTTGTAATGGAGAACCAGGCGGAGTATGGTTAGGTTTGTTATCAATATGGTAGTCATGGAAACGAAACAAAGCTTTGGAGGGAGATCCGTTGGAGACTCATGTGAAACGTAAGTGTTATTGCTTCTTGAAAACCTTTTTTATTGTAACACAGTTCATTTATCATTAATGCGAACCATCAACATCACCTTTTTTTCAAACGGTCTCAACAAACAAACCCAAACCCCATCATGACCAGTCGACAGTGTTCTGAATTCAACAGCATAATGTCAGCATATGTTGGTTGTGTAAGGCTACTGATGGATTGGGTGGTCAGGCTCGGTGACTTGGTTGATTGCGCGTCATCGTACCCCGCCGACGCGGACCGTTGCTCATAATATCAATCACTGGTCTAGATTCGATTATTTATAGACTGCCGTCACATAGCTGGAATACAGCTGAGTGCGACGTAAAATTACAAAACAATAAATAAAATACATGTGATTCCATGGTATTTGATTGACAAACCAAACACATTGTTTGTGTTTATGGTGCCAGGACTACTGTTTGCTGATTGGCTGATAACAGACTGGGCGGGGCTTGTGTTGCATTTTTGCACTGAACCAACTCAGCCACCGAGATCGCTGAACTTTGTGTGCTGA